CTGTACCACCAGGGAGGGCCAACCACTCATTAATTTTTAGGCAAACATCTACATGGCTATTACATAAAGATCCCCAAGAAAAAGAATGGGCCCAATATTAAAACCCATCTGCCATCTGCTGACATCTTATGCCCTCTGATAGAATTTGCTTCTGCTACCCCGTGTCATCTCAGATCTTCTGCCTCTGAGACTTCAGTGGAATGGACAATTCGAGGACTTTGAAATTTTATGTTGGAGGCACAGTCTTTCAGTTATCTGTTGCTACAAGTAGTAATCCACCCCACAGCTTAGTAACTTAAAACAATAATCACTTCTTTTGTCACTAAACTATAATTCAGGCAGGACTCCAAGGGAAGGCACCTGGCTCTTCCTGTTGTGTCCCATGACTGCAGATGTGGCAGTGTTTTGGGGGGCCTGGTTGGTGGGTGCAGCTTAGAGGTGGCTCATTCTAAAGCTAGGCAAGTTGGGCTGTCAACTGGCAGTGGCTGTGGTTTCACTTCCTCTCCATGTCGCCCCACTGCAGGTTACTTGGCTTCCTCACAGCTCAGCAGCTGAGGTTTAAGAGTGAGAGTCCCCAGAGGGCAAGCTGTGCATTTATAGCATTTTTATGTTTTAGCTTCAGAAGTCACAGCATCATTTCTATGATACTCTTTTAGTTAGGCAGTCACAAAAATCCACCTCTGCTCAAAGGCAGGAGACATAGGCCCCACCCGTAGTTGTTTGAGACTAGCTTTGGAAAGTACACTCTGCTACAACCTGACTGCACTGCTTTTTCCTTGGCTTTCCAGATCCTACAAAAGGAACTAACTTACTTCCTCCAAACTTTCAGATTTTCCCTCCCCCCACTACTTTTTCTGTTTTGCAAAAGTGAACCCTGTGTGTTTGGCAAGCTTCCAATTAAGTGAATCCTTATGAAAGAGGATTTGATTTGTTATAAGGGTAACTAAAATCTAGGTACTCAGACCTGTGACCAAAGAGTGAATGAATTGAAAATGTAGGTGCAGGGTGTTTTGTTGGGCTACTTGGGGTGGTCTGAAACTGTTCTGTAATGCTAGTTTCTTCTCTAGCAGATAAAAATTCCTGCGAACAAACTTCTGAAGTCAGTGAAAGCCAAACTACAGATAGTGATGACATCATAGTGACACCCATATCTCAGAAATGTCCTAAGGCAGTAAGTATACTGGGTCATCATTGACTATGAAACAAGGTTGTAAATTGTGATAGTATGCTTAATGCCATACATAAGAATTTCAAATTCAATTTTATTTTTTATTTATATATTTTTAAAGATTTACTTATTTATGCATACAGAACTGGGGTATAGGCCAGAAGTGCAGGGGCAGTGAGAGGATTCAGCACAGACAGAGTGGGGAGCAGAACAGGCAGAATGATGAAGTACATTGTTGAGGGGAGCAGTGGGAAGGTCAGGAGAGGTCTGCCATGTCATGTGGGTTACCTCCCTGGCCAGAGATTGAACTCATGCTGAAGCAGCTGCGGCCAGCTTTGCAGTATGCAACTTAATGTATTGTACCTACCCAGGAGGGCCCTCAAATTCAATTTTAATAAACCTCACGGGAAATATAAAATTATTTAAATTTGTATTTCATGTGAATGGAAGTCTGTTGATACAGTCAGATGAAAGAATCCTTTTCTTGACTTGGTGTAAATGAGGACTTGCTTAAACTCTGCTCTTACCTGTATTTTTTACTGCCGCTGCCTCCTGCTTCCATGTTCTTCATATCATACTGTGATTCTTCACCAGCCTGAGTGATGCTGTTTTGTTAAACCCACCTAAGAAGAACAGGTTTACTTTTGGAGGTTGAGGTTGGAAGAGAGGAAAGGATTTTTGGTGGGAGGGCTCGGAGAAACTGAATGCTAAAACCTAAAAATCTGTACTTGCAGTCATGTATTAATTTCATCCTCAAAGTTCCTTTGGAACTAGTTATACACAAGTGAATAAATACAGGTATATTCAACAGTTATTGCATCTGAATCTTGTAGGCTACAAATAAGATAGAAAACAGTCATCCTCTTGAGTCACTAGAATGTTCCCTGGCACATTGGTAGATGCTCAATAAATATTTGTAAAGTGAGTGACAGAATGAAAGGGTAAAATTTGAGGATTGTGAACTTCCTTAGAAACAACAAAGAAAAGTATTGGTATACCTAAAGCCAAGAAGTTGATTATATGATTTGTAAGTATTCAGAAAAGAGAAATTATTTTTTCTTAAATAGAGATTAGGAAACTCTTCCTGAGTAGAAGTCAGAGCTTCTCAAGATATGCAGGAAAATTAAGGAGATTGGAATGGGGAGAAACAATTAAAAAGTAGCATACCTAAACTGTTAACACAGTAAATAAGTTTCCCTTCCTCTGAAGTTTTATTTGTCACACCTTTTTTTATACATTATACAATGACACAGCTATGCAACTTCTGTCGACTGACAAATTCCAGATGGAAGGGAAAAGCTCTGAAAAATCAGAATTTCCATTGCTAACTTGTATACGACTTCCCTTTTTTGTATAATCATATCAAAAATATTCTGAGCAACCATCAGTTTGCAACTGGATTGCCTTAGCTTCATAAATTGGCTACCTGGTGGGGCAAAGTACAAGCTACCCTAGGGCAGGGAATTTCTCTGTGTCCGGAGACAAAAGGCAAGCTCCAGGAGAGATAAGACCCCCTCAGAGCATCAAGACTCTTGGGAAAATTCCTTGGTTTTTTTAAAAAAAGCAAATCTCAGGTAAAACTCCCAAGACATAAGGACTCATGGACAATTTCCTACCATTATTGACACAGATTTTACTTAATGCATAACTATGTGACTTCCTCTTAATTTACCCTTTTCTTAAACAATCACTAACTACTCTCTGCTAGTCTTATTTAACCTTTTCCTAAAACAAACACTAGCTACTCTCTGCTAGCCTTAAGTTAGCCATTAGCTTCTCTTTGGACAATCACTGATGACTCTGCTAACACAATTTATTCCTTCCCTAGGACCCCTAAATCCTTTGCTAACAGCTCATCCTTTCCCAGACCCCTTAATCCTTTGAAGTCATAGTTAAATATCCATATACATGAAAGTTATCACAAAGATGTATAGTCTAGTATTCCATAAAGTGTCAGGAAGAGAATGCATTGTTCCCCTCTTCCTTGAGAACTTTTATGCTGATTTCTTATTAACTTACCTGATGCATTATTATAACTAACTACTTGCTAAACAGTATAAGTAAAGACCTGCTAAAAAGATGATCAGGAAGACTTGCACCAGGCTCCGACTCCCATGTCTTCTTCACGCCCATTCCCCTTCCCCCTTCTTGGAATCTCCTCTTCTAGACGCCACTCCCACCTAAAAAGGCCCTGCCCTGTGACAGCCCGTGATTGGGGCCAGTCCCTGACAATACAATTATATCTTGAAAAATATTTAAGAGACAGACAGGAGCCAGAGAATAGTGGACTTTAACACTTTCAAGATTATAAAGATGAAATGATATGTCTAGGATTATAGAGCAAGCTGGTGAAAGAGTGTGAAACTCATTGTTTCTAGATGGTGTTCTCGCTCAGGTCAAACTGAAAAGCAGACAGCTGGTCAGCAAAGTTTTGAATTACAAACCAGGCAGGTTACATTTAAAATGTTGTTCTGAAGGCTCCTAAACAAGATCTCTTTTAGAGAACTTTTGTGTACCCAAAAATGTTACTTGAGAAACTAAATATGAAAACTCACTCTACGTTAGCAAAAAAAAAAGTAGTGTTTTGATTTAATTAAATATCTTACATTATAATTAAACTGCCAGCTCAATCATGTTGTATTTCAAAATTGCTAGGCATAAAAGATCAAAGAGGTTGATGGCCCAGAGACAGCACTTGAGTTTTGTCACTGTTCTGCCTGGAGTCAGTCAGGGTAATGAGAGAGGCAAGTAGTGTTTAAGAGCTTGGAGACTGGTTCAGAGAGAAGTGGTTTGGATTCTGGCTCTGCTGATAACAATTTATGAAGCTGTGGGGGAGTTATTTAACTCTGTAAAATAATCCTGTTAACTACGTCAACGTTATAGTAAGGTGGCAGAATTTTTTTTTTTAATAATTTATTTATTTAAGCTTACCGAACTGGGGTACAGGCCAGAGGTTGTTGGATGAAAGGTTCACCAGAGACAGAGTGGAGAGCAGAACAGGCTACTGAAATACACTGCTGAGGGGAGCAGAGGGTGGGTCAGGAGAGGTCTGCTATGCCCTATGGGTCAGCTCCCTGACTGGGGATTGAACTTGTGCTGCAGTGGTTGGAAGAGCTTCATAATGTGGTACTTTAACTCGTTGTGCCACCAGGGAGGGCCAGTGGCAAAATATAAACAAGGTGATGGGTGACAAGGCTCTAATATAGTACCTGAGCTAGATCAAACACTAAATGACAGTGCTGCTATTGACAATATCAATAATCTTCCTCTCTGAAATAGCCTCCTTCTCAAGCTTCTGTAGCATGGTGGAGCCCCCTCCCAAGGAAGGTCTAGACCCCAAGGGGTTGGCAGGGGGTCATTTCTCTCCTACCTGCTGGTTTGATTGAATAGGTGAATCAGTACAACTTCAAGATTGCCAAAATGGGCCCTCCCTGGTGATGCAATGGGTTAGGATGCAGCACTGCAAGCTGGCCGCAGCCCCTTCAGTCCAAGTTCGATTACTGCCCTGGAGGTGATCCACATGGCAAATCAGACCTCTCCTGACCCGCCCACTACTCCTTTCAGCAGTATACTTTGTTGATCTGCCTGTTCTGCTCTAGTGAAGTCTCTCACTGCCCCTGCACCTCTGACTTGTACCCCAAATTTTGTATGAATAAATAAATAAGTCTTAAAAAAAGACTGTAAAAAAAAAAAAAAAGACTGACAAATGCCTTTCCCCTGTATTGCTAAAAATGAATCAATCCCAATACATGTGGACCTTTCCTCAGATGTTTCTGAGACCGTTCCTTTGTGCATAGGATATACATGGAATTGCTCCCTGGGAGACTTTGTTAATCAGCACACAGTTTCTAGATTTCCTTTGTACTTGTCCTACCTCTGAGAATCTTTTCCCAGGAAAAGCTCTCAACCCAAAACACATATTCTCCACTAGATACAGTACCATTCCTGGACCAGTAATCAATCTCCCATTCTGAATGGACCATAGAATTTGTTTCCCTCCTTTACTGGAAAGGGGTGGCCATTTGCCTTTGGCCTGTGGCCTCAGGTGACTGTCTCAGGTTAGCAATAGTATCTATCAAAACCCTTAAAGTATATTCTCTTTTCTTATAAATTTCAAGTATGGAGGATGTCCTGACCTTTTATTTATGCTATTAAATAAGACTTAACTTTTGGAGTCCCACCCCCAACCAAATTAGCTGGCACACCTGAACTGTCTGGCACTAATACTGTACTACTAACTGTTCTTGGGGTTCTGCAAGCAAGTTCAAATGAGTTAGTATGTTACTGCGGTGAAGATAGCTAATATTTCTACTTGTATACTTCTCTTTTTGTTATTCAGTCCCAATAAACTATATAGTGGTCTCAAAAGAGAGGAAAGTAGTGGTGACAGCAACTCTGGAATGAGGCTTAGTGTGTTGGAATTGCTGCAGGAGGGCAGTGGTCTGAGGGCTGCTCTGTGATGTGCTCTGAGGAGGTCTGGAAGCCTTGGGCCACTCTCTACTGTGTGCTTAAGCCAGTTACTAAACCTCCAGTAAGCAATCAACAGGTCTATTTGTACCTAATCTCAGGAAAATGCTGGACTGGTTTTCATTCAGAATGTTGAAGAAATATCTTCTCAGAATTGATTCTTACTGTACTGTAGAGGCTGGAGAAACTATTTACCTGACTTGGAGACAGAACAACTGGCTTCTCTTACACACTTCCCAACAACAAGATGGGGCATGCATGGCAATTCAGTCAATGTCTCTCGGTGACTGTTTTACCTATAAATTGATCCGCAAGGAGTAATAATTAGATGAAATATGCCTGAGTTTGAGTCCTAGAGAGTAATGTGTTAATTAAATGAAGTATAAGTACACAGAGCATCACTAACCTATAGGGAATAAATATTTTTCTTATCAGGGTTCAGAGAAGATGTGTATTGAAGTTGTCTCTCTAGCCTTCTTCCCAGAGACTGAAGTGATGTGTGACGAGAACATACAGCAGGTGTATGTGGAGTATAAGTTCTACGACCTACCCTTGTCAGAGACAGAGACTCCAGTATCCCTGAGGAAACCAAGGGCAGGAGAAGAGATCCACTTCCATTTTAGCAAGGGTGAGGCATCATTCCCTGTGATTAGGGAGAAGAGATGGGCAAACATTCAGATAAAAGAGTCAAAACTATTCTGGACTTCTGATGGAGTGAATCCAACCATTTTGCATTCTTTTATTTATCAAAGTTATATGTTCATAAGGTCTTTTTTTAAAGAATATTTATTTCTGCATAGAACCTGGGGTACAGGCCAGAGGTAGGAGGGTGAGAGGATTCACCAGAGACAGTGGGGAGCAGAACAGGCAGATCTACTGAAATACACTGCTGAGGATGCAGCGAGTGAGCAGGAGAGGTCTGCTGTGCCAGTGGGTCACTCCCTAGCCTGCCAGAGTGGCTGGAGGTAGCTCGATAGTTCTGAGACTTCTATCCTTGTGCCACCAGGAAGGCCCAGTGGAAACACATTTATCGTGACATGGAACAGAACAACTTTCAAAGTGGTTTATAAGGCTTCCTTTATATCAGGATCAAAAAATTTCTTAAAGAGCCAAATAGTTACACTTTTAGATGTTGTGAGCCAGTCTCTGTTACAACTACTAAACTCTATCACCATGGTTGGAAAATCACCCTCAAATATATGCTAAAAACGGATATGACAGCGTTCAATAAAAATGTATTTATGAGACAGGGCCAGCCCTCTGCTTTTATCACTGTTTTACCTATACCACAAATGAAAGTCTTAGTGCCCAAGTATAACAGTTTGACTCTTTGCTTTTTTTCTTCTTGCCCTCAATAGTGATAGACCTGGATCCACTGGAGCAGAAAGGTCGAAGAGAATTTCTCTTCACCATGCTGAATGGACAAGATCCTGAGCAAAGACAGTAAGCATCTATCTACTTTCCACTTTGAAGGGAGTTATTCAGTCACAGAAACTTAGGCATTTAAGTTGGTCTTTTGCTAATGCTTAATAACTTAATAAATTCTGTCAAATCAATTTACTCTAATGAATTTCTCATCCACTTAAGTATAATTTGTGTTTGTGACTGATTACCTGATCAATTATGTAATCGCATAGGTTTAGCTCATTTCTCACCATGGCAGCAGCCCTGATGAGCACTTTCTGGTGGCAGTAATTTACTTGAATACTATTTTTTTTAAAGATTTATTTATTCATACAGAACTGGAGTACAGGCCAGAGATGTGGAGGGTGAGAGGATTCACCAGAGACAAATTGGGGAGCAGAACAGGCAGATCAGCGAAGTACACAGCTGAGGGGAGCAGCAGGCGGGTCAGGAGAGGTCTGCCGTGCCATGTGGATCTCCTCCGGGGTGGGCAGGCAGGAATCGAACTCATGCGGAAGTGGCTTAAGCTTCTTAGTGCTGTGCTTTAACCTGCTGCGCCATCAGGGAGGGACCCTGAATACTATTTTTTAAAAAGAATTAATTATTTATGCACACAAGAGCTGAGATACAGGCCAGAGGTGAGGGGCGAGATGATTTACCAGACACAAAGTGGGGAGCAGAACAGGCAGATCTACTGAAATACACTGCTGAGGGGAGCAGCCGGCGAGCCAGGAGAGGTCTGCCACGCCATGTGGGTCAGCTCCCTGGCTGGGGATCAAACTATGCTGTAATGGCTGCTGATAGCGCCATAGTGCTCAGACTTTACCCCTGGTGTAACCCATATACCTTTGACTATCTTTTTGTCAGTGTGGTATAGTGGACAGTAGACTGGCTTTGTAATAAAATATGACTTTGAATCTTGGTTTCCAACTTGAAGGATCCTGTGAGGATCCTGAAATAATATCGTTCACCCAAAACACTTGATAGTATGCTTGGTGCAGAATTATATTAGATAAGCCCCCTTTGCATTGGTTCTCAGAATTTATACAGAAATATAATCACAGTAAAATTATAGTTCTATTTCTCTTGCACTCTATTGGCCACCAATATTTGACTTAAAAAAATGGGCATATAAAATGTTCAGGGGCATCCTTGGTGGCGCAGGGATTAAAGTGTCAGTGCTATTAATCTATCTGCAGCCACTGCAGCACAAGTTTGATTCCCCACCAGGGAGCTGACCGACATGGCGCAGCAGACCTCTTCTGTCTTGCCCACTGCTCCCCTCAGCAGTGTATTTCAGTACATCTGCTTGTTCTGTTCTCTACTTTGTCTCTGGTGAATCTTTTCATCCCCCGTACCTTTGGACTACACCCCAGTTCTTGTATGCATAAATAAAATCTTTAAAAATGTCCAGAACAGGAAAATCCAGAGAAAGACATAGACTAGTGTTCACCTGGGAACTGGGGAGAGAGAAGTGAAGAGTGTCTTAATGAGTTAAAGGTTTATTCTTGATCTAGAATTAGGTAGTGGTGATGGTTGTACAACATTGTGATGATATTAATACAGAAGTAGGGCTCCTGGGTGGCACAAGGGGTTAAAGTACAGCACTGTGAAGCTATCTACAGCCTCTGCAGCTTGAGTTTGATCTCAGGCTCCCCTCAGCAGTGTATTTTAATATATCCACCTGTTCTGCTTCCCACTCTGTCTCCAGTGAATCCTCTCACTGCCCTTACATCTCTGGCCTGGACCCCAGTTCTTATATACATAAATAACTTTAAAAAAATTGTCAGCCATCTCATAAGGAATTAATTATACCTCAACACTTTTGAGGCAGCTTGGTGAACTACAGTACCTGGATTCTTAGTTCCTTTTTCTCAAGCCTGTTGTTACTTTAAATCATACTGGTTCCTTACTTGTCTGCTGTTGTAGTCTCATGAAATGGAAGGAAAGCAAGGAAAAAGTGACTTAGGAATGACACTAAAATTTCAAATTACTTTAACCCTTATTTTATTTCTAAAATCTACTCCTTAGGCTTAATAGTTCTCAGTTAAACGGAATGTTGATTTTTCTCCCCCATTAGTTTAAAGTTTACAGTGGTAAGTGATCCTATGGATGAGGAAAAGAAAGAATGTCAAGAAGTAGGATATGCGTATCTGGAACTGTGGCAGATCATGGAGTCAGGAGAAGACCTTATAGAACAAGAACTTGACAGTAAGTAATGTGCTGCTGAATTCCATTTACATTTAAGGAAATCATCCTGATAATGAACACCTTCCCTTTTTACCTTTATTACATATCATCACAGCCATAGTGATAGAAGCTGGAAAGAAATTCCTACAGCTGTGTTTACTTCTAGATAAAGCATGAGAGTAATGACTTGTACATTTTAGTCCATAGGTCTCATGACAACTAGAATCTATCAATCTCCGATGTTTTAGTTAGAAAAATTTTAAAAAGGTAAAATATAAACTTCAGCTTTAAATATTGGGATATTTTTAATATTCACTATTTATGCAAGCATTCAAATATACATATATCCACTTAAAATATGTCAGAATGTTTTCCCCCTTTTTAAAATGTGTTTCTTGAGGTAACATTGGTTGTTTTTGGAGTATTAAGTTCACACCTCTTCCAATGTATTTTACCGTATCATGTCCACCACCCAAGTCTAAATAAGCCCCATCACATTCCTCTTGGACCCCCTCTGCAGTCCCCTGCTACTTAACTCCTCATCTCTGGTAATCTGAGTTCTGTGGTCAGAATCCAAGCAATTATCTGTTTGGTTTTGTCTTGTCTTTTGTTTTGTTCTGCATGTACATTCCACATAGGAGTGAAATCATGTCGCATTTGTCTTTTCTTTTCACTTATTTCTCCTTGCATAATCCCCTCAGGGTCCATTCGAATTGTCACAAATGGCAAGATTTCATCTTTTTTTAGTAGAGTAGTATGCCATGATGTACACAACTTTATCATCTGTCATTAGGCATTTGGGTTGTTTCTGCATCTTGGCTATTGTAAATAGTGCTGCACTGAAAATAGGAGTGAATAAATATTTTCAAATTTGTTTTCACATTGTTTGGAGAGATACCTTAGTGGAATTGCTGGATCACCTAGGTATGTATTTGGTGGCTTGAGAAAGCTCTGTATTGCTTTACACAGACGCTGTATGTTTACATTACCACCAAAAGCATATGAGAGTTCCTTTTTCTCCACACCTTGCCAACTCGTCCCTGATCTTTTTTATATAGATCATTATCACAAGTGTAAAGTGATTGTTTTGCATTTTCCTCGTAAGTGACAATAAACTTTTTCTCCTTGTTGGCCACCTGTATGTCTTCTTTGGAAATATGTCTGTTTAGCTTTTCTGCCTATTTTTTGATTGGGTTGTCTTTTTTGTTGAATGAGTCTTTTTATATATCTTCGATATTAAGCCCTCACCCAATGTTGGATGTGTAAAAATTTTCTTCCATTTAGTTGGGTGTCTTACTTTAGCTTTGTTGTGCTTTTTTTTATTTTGATGTCCCGTTTTATTTTTGCCTTTGTTTTCCTTCTTGCTGGACTCAACAGGTTATCACTAAAGCCAGTGTAATGAATGGAATTTTGCCTGTTTTCTTGTGTATTTTATGGTTTCAGGTTTTATGTTCAAATCTTTTATTTACGTTGAGTTAATTTTTGTATATGGCATAATGGTTTAATTTCATCCTTTGATTGTGACTAATTTTTCCAACATTTGTTGAATACACTTTTCTTTAAAAGCACTTGGTTGCTTTGTCTTAAAGTAACTGTCCATAGAATTGTGGGTTTATTTCTGGGCTCTCAATTCTATTTCATTTATTTATTTTTATTCCAATACCTTACTTTGATTACTGTAAATTTGTAATGTAGTTTTTGTTAGGGAGTATGATACCTCCATTCTTGATTTTCAGGAATGTGTTGACTATTTGGTGGTTCCATATAAATTTCAGTAATGTGTTTTATTTCCTTGAAAAAACGCTATTGGAATTTTTATAGATTGCATTAAAATGTTACATTACTTTGGGTAAGATGGCCAAATTCAACAGTTGATTCTTAACAGTTGTACATTTCTCCATTCTTTGTCTTTATTAAATGTAAGAGCTTTTCAGTTTTTGTTGGTCAGGTCTTTAACTTCCTTTCACTTAATTCCTTTTGATGAGATTGCAAATGTGATAGTTTCTTGATTTCTTCCTCTTTTAGTTCATTGTTTGCATATAGATTTTTGTACACTGATTACAAACATCAAAATTCCTGACCTCTTCAGCAGTTTGCAGCAAAAACAGAATGCCCCTTCTTTTTAAAGTAGCCCCTTATATAGATCAAATCTTCATCAGTTGGCTGCATTTTCCCATTGTACATCTCCACTAATACAATGTTTTTCTGATTGATCTCACATCATTGGTTCCTTCCATCCATTTCCACCAACTTAGTGTTTTAAAACAATGTTACCAACTTCAAAACTCAGCTTCTGGAAGTACTGGCATAATGGTTGGTCTATCTGGCATCACCTGTACTCTTTAAGATATTTACATCTAAGCACTTTACGCTGTTCTTACCAATTACCCTAATTTGTCACATCCAGTTCGTTTTCTTACACATCCTGCTTGACATCCCTAAACCTCAAATGTTTCTCCTTCTTTATCTAAGCCAGAGTTTTAATAAAACCTGAGTTTACAGCAGACCAAGTCACTACTTCTGTGCCCCCCAACTTTGTACCTTTTGTTCCCTTACTCCCACAATTCTATTTTGCAAGTTAAAATGTTCATCCTTAATTCTAGCTCTCTCCTTATACCAAAGTCTTAAAATTTTATTTATTTTACTTAAGTGTTCTGAACCCTCTCCCCTACCTCCACTATCATTGGATAGTAGTCCCTTCGTTTTTCTCCTGAAAACCACCAGCTCATAACTACCCTCCCTAATAATTATTTTGATTACTGTAACTTTGTATGTAGTTTTGTCAGGGAGCAGGATTTTGTTTTGTGTCCAATTTGAATAAAATATTTCTCCAAATAATGGAGTGACTCTTCTAGAATCCAAATAAAAGCTGTCATTTTTAATACCTTCAGCTAAAACCAAATTTCTTAAGACAGACAAGGCCTTTTATGAGGTGGCTCCTGCTTATCTGAATAGCTTCCTTACTGCTACTCCTCACACTTCCCCAGACTTACATGTTCTCATGTCTTGGCAAATGTTTAGACTATCTTTCAGTTTTCAAAGATTAAGGCACTATCTCCAGAAAACCTTTTCTAGTTCCTCCAGTGTGGGTTAGGTGCCTCTGTTTTCTCAAAGCAACTACCATATTTTATTAAGACAGCTTTCCTTTCTCTTCCACTAAACTGTGTCCCCTCTAAGAAATGAGGTGAAAACTTGAGTGTCTTCAGTACCTGAATGACAAAAACATTTAAATGTTTAAACTTGAATGATGCTGCTGCCTGACACATTCCTTTTTTATTTCCCAACAGTTGTTAGCCCTGAAGATCAAGCTACCCCAATTGGAAAGCTGAAGGTTTCCCTTCAAGCTGCGGCTGCCTTCCGTGCTATTTACAAGGAGATGACTGAAGATTTGGTTTTGTAATGGAACAAGTGCTATTCCATTCTAAACTCCAAGGGAACCATAGTAAAATGTCTCATATAAAGTAACTTGCTATACCATAAATGTGGTTTACTGTAATGCCTAGTATGGAACCTGAGAATGATGAGTGATGGATAAGGTATACTTCTCTAACTTCTTAACATTCCATCAAGGAGCAGCTACAAAAATAAGTATCACACAAGGTGAATTTACAAAGAACAAAACAACAACAACAACAAAAAAAAAACCACAGTTTATTTATCTTTTAGTTCTTCCAAAATTGAAAATATCAAGTCCTACTGCTAAGGAGAAAAAAAAACAAAAAACAAGAAACAAAATCCGAGGCCCCTCCCCCCTCTTCTCTTAAAGTCACAGAACACGGAAGGAACTGTAGTGGGGACAGATGGGTGCAGAGAACCAGGAGGGGAAGGATGGCAAGATAAACGCCCCAAATACTTAAAAAGCTGTTCAACAGAAACTGTGATAAATACAGGACAATGCAAGACAAGTAAAAATAAGGAGCAGCAGTGACGAGAGGCTGTGTTGTAGATGTGGCCGCCCTTCCTCTTCTCTGTTCTCACTAGGGTATTCTAGGCCCAAGGCATGACTCGCCCCCTTCCAAATCTAAATGTTGACGACTCTGCACCTCTTCCTAGATTCCAATGGAAGCAGTGTAAGAGGAACAATCACTCTTCCTCAGGCACACCAGGAAAGAAACTTGTGATTTTGTTTCTACATTATACCATGTATGAATTTGTAAGGATGAACTGAGCCAAGGAGTGTCACTGCTTATGTCTTCCAAGGCAGCAAAAATAACTCAGAATCCGCATGAGGCAAGAAAGCAGGAAAACTGGTGACGTACCAGCCTGACTGGCCTCATTAGCTCAAGCTGTATGGTTTATCACAACCATTAGTAAATTCCAAGGTCCTTTTCTTTAGTACTGCAAGGCTGGAACTTAAAGAGATATGAGGAAGGTCATGGCAAGTAGGATAAGATGGAGGACTGAATCTGCTGGTTAAGAACCTTGGTACAGTAGGTAAGAATCACCTTGTACCAATGTCCTAGAAATACAGCTTTGAGACATCAAAGAATAAGATGTCAGAAACCATCATCAGTGTCCTGGTAGAAGGTGACAGGAAGAGAGGAATGAAGCAATATTAACAGTGGAAGCCTCTGCCTTCTTCAAGAACACCTCCTCCCTCGCCATCTGGATGGGGCCATTGGCACGAGTCCTGGTGGGCCTGGAATCCCCCGAGTAGATTGGTCCACACAAATGGCCCCCTAAACCCTTAAACACAAATGGCAAACCTTCAAAAGGAAAAATACAGTTTCTATGTCATGTAAAATTTTCAGGGGTTGGCTGGAGGAAGAATAGAACTGAGGGTCAAAGTTCGGAAGTTACTTCCTCTTTTTCTTGGGGGGTGCAGAGCTGTGTCTGGAACCACGGTTAGAGCCACGGCCTGAACTGTGCACAGATGCCTTCCTCTTTCGGCTCATACTTCGACTCTGTTCTTCTTCCTCCTCATAACGACTTTCACGATCCGCTAAACAGAAGAGGCGTTACTAGTTAGCTGCAGGTTACTAGTTAGCTTTAGGTAGCTAACCTGGAGAATATGAAGTAGCAGAGAGAATGTCCTTTGTAGTCAGTCCTGTTTTAATTTTTTACTTAGCCACTTACTGGATGTGTGACTAAACAAGTAAGTAATCCTCCTCAGTGTTCATGCATTTATTCCTATTGAATGGAAAATTGTTTCCGGACTAAAGAAATCTATACCAAAAACAAGCTCACTGGTGGGGATACAGTAGATTATTTCCTTTTTTTTTTTTTTTTTACCTTTTCTTTGTTGTCTGGCTTGAGAGTGATCAAATTAGTACCACAAACCCTTTCCTAGCTGTGAACTGGTGTAGAGTTAAAATAATTTAGATTTGAAACACTAATAGCCTAATTTTGGAACCTCACAAGATTATGTGCCTAACATGGCTGCAGACACACTGGGAGCCTGACCAAGTGGAAAAAGCGTCCCATTAGGAAGTCATGCCACCTGGAGGGAGCAGATACACTCATTTTCTTCTTTAGTCTGAATTTGCAGCTTGTTCTTTTGTTACTCATTAGGCTAATAGTATCACAGAATACTGAAATCCATTAGAAATCTGTACTTCAAAAAAATAAACTAAACAAAACAAAATTTTACCTTTTCGGGCTTCTTCCTCCAGCTCATCCCAGTCCTTTCCACTCTCTTCTTCACTGCCTAATGACTCCTTAGAATAATCTGCAATAAAATTAAACATTAGTCTTTAGATAGGAATGGAAAAGAATTTTTCCTTTCTAGAAAAACCAGTTTCTAAAAATGACATCAGCTTAGGAAAACAGAAAGCTTTCCCCCTCTGAAGTCCAACCTGATTCTTCAGCTTCTGATGAATAATCTTCATCACTGTCCTCCTCCTCCTCTTCATAGTCATCCTCTGAAGGATTAAAAGTCTCATCTTCAATTTCAGACTCTGAATCCCCTTCCTCAGCATCACTTCCCTGGTAAAGGTAGAGCATAACATTTATGTTTTCTAAATATAACAACAAAAACTGGGTGATCAAGAGATTAAAGGATTTATTTAAAGTTTTTAGTAAGGAGAATTAGAAGAGTCCCTCAATATGTAATTCATATTTTTTATAGATTCACTTTGTCCTTTCTTACCCAGGAAAACTAACCAAAGAAATACAAAAGGTAATAATGCAAAATGGATTATGAAGGAAACATCTTTTGAAACTGCCCTTAGAAATTTTTCTAAATACTAAGATTCATGGAAAGAAGTTTCTGTAATTTTAAAGAAATCTTGTCAGTAGCAACCAAAGCCTAATTAATTTATCATATACCTGTAAAACTAATTTGGAAAAACAAAAGCCACTTGTATTCAGCGTTTCTTCCATTTGACCTGGTCCCTCACATACTTTATGGCATTCTGCTAACTCCTCAAATGGTAATGGGCAACACTGTACCAGAAAATAAACCCCACACTCACGCACCTCACCCTCAGGCTCCAGGAAAGACCAGCCACCCTGCTCAAAGAAACCTTCAGGGTCATCAACGATAGTCTTCATAATTTTAGTCCAGTTAAGGGACTGTACTCCTTCTGTGTACTTTAGGTCACAGGAACTGAGAGAAAAGACAGTACAAATCAAAATTGCTCCTTTGTGATTTGAAAAATCCTGTATTGTCTTTATCATTAGCAGTAACCTTTCCCCAAATATATATGAGAGCAGGTATTCTTTTCACTGTGCCACCAAAACATACCTAAGTGGCTGAAAGTTGGTTCCCAGAGCACTGGATTTCAAGACAAGGCAGCCTGACTGATGGAAGCTTTCTCCCTGAGTCAACTAAGTGTGAGTTCACCCTATTTTCCATTTTCTTTCCCTTCTCTTTAATTTCCCATTCCTTATTTAGCTTTCCCGCCTACTCACCTCACCCATGCTTTCTCCTCTCTGACTTGCAAATTCTTATTTGCAAGTCCTATGTGAATACTTTTCAATTCTGATCATTCATACTTAAGAAATAGCAACAATTTTCACTGGCCCTACTTTTCCCTCTGCAACTTTTCACTGCTTTCCTATCCTTGGCTACTTGTTGTGAGGTCTATCTGAAGGTAGTAATAATTTTTTTTTAGTACCTAATTTGCCCTGTGTTAGGAAGATGCTCAAATCCACTTCTGCTGAGGAGAGCTGAATCAATTAAAATGGGTAGGGGAGAAAAGAAAATCAAATAAATGACAAGAGTAAAGAAGACAAACTTAGCATTCAACCTGCCTGAGAATGACTGGCATGAAACAATTACAGGTATTATCACATACACTGCAATGCTTACTCCCAGCTATGATGGAGTAACGAGGTTCAGATTTACCTTTCCAGCTTAAATAAATAGAGAACAGGACAAAATATGAAACAGCCATTTTCAAACACTGGAAAAAAAGCAGCACATGACTAATTCCCGAGAAGGAAACATGGCTTTGTTTTATAGTTGCTCCAGTTTCCTACCTGAACACAGCTCCTAGGTTGTTATAAAGAGGGAGAAATCAATAGGAATAGACGCCAACAGAACAGGATTAGGAGGCGGAGGAAGAAACCATGGGGCAGAAAACTGAAGGGGAAAGAAAGCTCTGGAGATTTGCAGAAGGATCCCTTTATGTCTTTGGCTAAAGACAAATCGAAACATACATGACAAAATGACCAGAAAATTCCCCATCTCATTTAATATGTTAAAAGAGGAATGAAATGCACTGGACTATGGTGATGGCACATGGATGATGGGAAACCCAAGGGGATTGCAACTGAGATGGAAAAATGCCAAAAATATGTAAAAATAATTAAAAAAAAAAAAAGGAATGACTGCATTGAAGCTAAAATAATGACAAACTATGGAATTCATAACATATTAGAAAGTAAAATGTATGACTAATAGCAGAAAGGACAGAAGAACAGAAATGCAAACATAAGAATCTTCCAACAGTAGTGATATATTATCTTAAGGAAGACTGATAAGTTAAAGATGTGTATGTAAACCTGAGAGCAGCCGTAAAAGTAAAACAAAGAGGTATAACTAATAAGCCAAATATGAAGATTATTTAGTAATCAAAAAATTAAAATTAATCAAAAAGTGCATAAAAAGATGAGGAAAATGATTAATAGCAGATGGCTGGCCTCCCTGATGGCACAGGGGTTAAAATCGCAGCAATATGAAGCACAAGTTTGATCCTCAGCCAGGGAGGTGACCCACATGGCACAGCAGACCTCTCCTGTCCTGCCTGCTGCTCCCCTAGGCAATTTCTTTCGGTAGATCTGCCTGTTCTGCTTCCCCTCTCTGTCTCTGGTGAATCTGCTCACCCCCCCACACCTCTGTCCTGTACCCCAATTCTTATATGCATAAATAAACTTTTAAAATTCAAAAATGTAAAAGACAAAATATATGTACTATGAAAACACTAACTAGCACTAACCAAAATAAACCAGAAAGCT